GTGTCCATGATGAACTTTGTTCTTGACCCTTTGGCTGGAATAGACAATGTCTTTGTGTCTGCATGATCTTTCTTTCCCTCGCATACATGAGGAATGACTTTATGATGGAAAACTAGGCCGTCATCTTCGTCAAAAGACATAGTGACCGCTAGGTCACCCTTTGGTCCAACTGGTATTCGGACCCTCTTGATCTCAGTGTAGGGGACCATCAATATGCCTCTTGCCTCTGCGACCTTTTCTTCAAATCTGATTTGTTCTTTCCTCGTGTAGCAGGTGAGCTCTTTCTCATCGTATCGTTTGATGTCTGGACGTAGAGGTTTCCTCTCTACTACCTTCCATTTGTTCCTGACTGGGTAGATCGCTTCGTTCAACATGATCTCACAAGTCTCTTCATCAAAGGATACTTTTGCACCTCCTTCTCTTGCCTTGGCGGATGCAGCAATCCCTTCATCTTCGGATTCGTCCATGAAGAGTTCACCGTCAATGGCTGGGGCTCCAGGCTTCGCCTTAGGCTTCGGTTTGGGTTTTGCCTTGGGCTTTGGCCTATCGTCTCCTGAGTCAGCTGGTGCAGATATCCCTTTCTTAGGAGAGGCTTTTGGGTCATGGTAGAACTTGCAATCCTTCCCTTTGTCACAAGTTCCTCGAATCCACATCCAACATACTGGCTTGTCATTCTTTCCGACAGAAGATCCTCTGGATGGTGATCTGGGTTTCTTGTGACTGAATGGGCAATCTTTCCCCATAGTGCAGTTACCTTTCACGAAGTATTTGCATGGTATCTTCTTCTTGTCTGTACTCGGACTTCGGCTGCGATCCTTTCCATCACCTTTACCTTTCCCCTTTCCCTTTTTGTTCTTGTCTTCAGGATGCTTCTTGGGATTGGGTTTCGGCTTCACTGCAGCAGCGTCTTCTGAGACAACCTGTTCTTGTTGCCCTTTTGGTTTCTTCTTCGGATCAGCTGGTGCAGCTTTCAGTTTTGGAGCAGGTCCGCCTGGTTTGAGATTCTGAAAGATATTGGCCACATTCTTCACTGCCTTCTCCTTTTCCAGGATCATCCTGTCTTCAGTTTGCCGTTCGATGTGCCTTCTGATCATATCACGTAGATGTTTGTATGTCTTCTTGGCATCATCGTCGTTCATGCTGTTGTAGGCGCTGATGTCGTATGCCATGAGGTTTGAGTTCCTGATCTTTCTCCATAGGAGATCCCGAAGAGTTTCGTCGCTCGGGACGTCAACGGGCTTCATTCCTGCCAGAATCTCATCCCAAGTGTGGAAGAACAACGATAAGTTCTTGTCTTCTTGATATTCTAGTTGGTAGAGGTGCATTGAAGTATATAAGACTTCCACATTTGATGTTGTCTTGAAATTCATAAGGATCAGGGCTAGGACCTCTCTTCCCTTTATGAGGCTTGATGTTCTCCCTTTTGCATTGATCCTCGTCCTCAACTTCATAGCTACACCTGAACCATCATCTTTCGCATCCATGACGACCTTGGTAAGAGCTAGGCCGAGTTTGGCATCGATTGAATGGAATCTTTGGTCTCCTGAGTCGACAAACTTGTCCGGATCAGGATCGTCCATGGCTTCTTTGATCCAGTCGATCCAGGGCTCTTGATCTGAATCATTGGCCGCAATGATGATCGATTGAATGAGATTTGCCTTCCATAGTCCAAGATCATTGATCCTGGGCCATGACGGAACGTTTATCTTTGATTCTTCCTTCCTCGATACTTTCATGATTGTAGAGGTTGCCGGTGCAAGATGAGATGAAGAGGATGCTTCTGCTTCTGAAATCTTGTCCCTCAATGATTTGTTCGCCTCGGATAGCTCAATTGATTTCTCCCTTTCCTCGGCGTACTCATTGTGGGTTTCGGCATACCATTCATACATCTCATCTCGGCTCTCTGTCATTTCATTGTACCCGTCCTTGTAGTGCTTCGCCTCCTCTTTTGCGTTCCGAATCTCATCTTCCTCGGACGCGTGGGTTGGTAACCCGCGGTCTCTGGAACTAGGACGCTTGCTGTATCGAGAGACTATGGGTGCCATTCGTGCTTCTGCTTTTAATTTCGCATTTTCCATAATGACATTCTTTGTCTCCTTCTGGCTTTCCAATAGTGCATTCTCCAGTTCTCTGATCTTCTGTTGAATTTCAGCACCATCATCGCCGAACATAGGAGCTCTCATCATATTCTCTCTTTTCAGCTGTGCGTTGGCTTCGGATAGAGCGAGGTTGGCGTCTTTCAACTGTTGTCGTTCACGGATGGAACCTTCTAGGACTTCGTTGTTGAATATTTCTCCTTTTGCGATAACCTCCTTTGCGACGTTTGCTTCGTATTCATGGTGGCTCGCCTTCATTTCTGCCATTTCTTTAGCAGAGACTTCAGTCTGGCATACAAATATCTCCATCCTCATGCCCACTTCCATCTCTTCTATCTCCGCTCTCGCGTTGAGTTCAGCTCCACGTGCCATAGCTAGTTGACCTCGTAGATGATCAATAACCATAGCTTCCTGATTGCTCTGATCTTGAGATGAGTGAACACTGTGTTGAAGACGTCTTTCCCTGACCTCACTGTTCCATTGTTCTTCTCTCTGGTGTTGGATCACCTCGTGCATGTTGACATTCTCATCCTGTAGCGCAATCATTCTAGCTTGTATCTGGTCAGCTATTCCGACGAAGGCTGTGTTCTCATCCTGAATGGCTTTTGATCTTCTATTGATCGCCAATGAAGATTCATTCTGTTCTTGGATGTGTCCAATTGCTGCTTGAAGCTCTTGGGACATTCTGTCCTTCGTTGCTTTCACAGATTCAAGCTCTGAATGTTCTTGATGAGTTTCTTGTGCAAGCTCTTGATATCTCATGTAGATATGTTCAGCTGTCGATTCCGCCAAGCGTAGCTTGTGTTCGAGCTCTTCAATTCTTATTGTCGCTCCTTCATCTTCCTGTGTCATCTCTTGTAGATGTTCCTGCATCTTCCTGTTGTAGTCAGACATTTGCCTGAACTCCACTTCAGCCTCGTGGTGTAGTCGTGAGTATCCGGCTTGGATGCATTCATATTCTTCATGAAGAAAATTGTATGCGTTTCTCGCCGATCTCAATTCTTCACCCAGCTGAATCTCTCTTCTTTGCTCTTTTGTTCCTCTATCATCGTCACGTCTCTTCTCTATACTCCTTCTTGGGGATCTCGCGGTAGACGTTATAGGCGATGTAGATCTTGTTGTAGCTCTCATCGATCTTCTTGGTCCTACGGGTGCAAGATCGGTCAGATTCCGAGCCGGTGGCACGGATCTTTCCGAGATTTGTGATCCAGTAGGCATAGTGATAACGTCAGCATTTGCTGATGAATCAGTACCCATTGTAGAGTCTGGTGACGAAATGGTGTTGGGACCACCAGGAGCAGCGAATGAATAGGGTTCGCTTCCATTTCCTCCTGAGCTTGACATTGCAGGTTTCTGTAATGACTAGTCTTGTTCTTGGTCTCGTGTAGCTCGTACGGCTATAAAGAGCGCGTACGGCTGATAACCTGCGAGTGGATCTTAATCAGCGAAGTTTGAAGCTATCACTGACGATCCATAAGCGGCGTAGCGTCGGAACGGAAACCGCACCTTTTCTAGTCGCTTGATCCTTGAGCCAAAGTACATATGGTACATATATATGTACAAGTTGCACTGTACGTGTTGCTGCACTTCCATTCGCAGGTTCAAATCCAACAGCAACAAAGGAAAGAAGTACTCTGGCTCAGCTTGACACCTACCAAGTCAAGAGTCCTCTCCCCCCCCCTCCCCCCCTTGACACCTGCCAAGTCAAGAGTCCTCCCCCCCCACCCCCCACCTCACAAGCAACATTTATATATAATGAAGGAATGAGTTTGCAAACTAGAGGTTTGGTTTGCAAACCAGTTTGTTTGTTGCAATGTTACGTAAGCAATGAAGTTGGAAGCCAGATGTTGCAGTAAGCAATGAAGCCAGATGTTGGAGTATGCAATGAAGCCAGATGTTAAGTAAGCAATGAAGCCAGATGTTGGTGAAGCCAGATGTTGGAATAAGCAACGAAGCCAGATGTCAGATGTTGAAGTAAGCAATGAAAGTATGTATGTTGGAGTAACATGTAAATGCCTCAAAAGTGGAGGTCCGAAATCATCCCCTAGCCATATATATATATGTATCAGACTATATTATATATAAGATATACATGTGTATAACTAAGTAGACGCTCAAGCCAGGGGGTCTTTTCAGCCTAGCTTTCGCCGCCTTTCACGGCTCTTCAGGGCTAAATGCTGCACGGATGGCAAAAAACACAACTGCAGTGTATAATAATATATATATAACATATTCTTATCTCAGACTATTATTACAAGTGATATCATCGGTAACGTTTGCCGGTGAAACGGAGGATGCTATCCGTTGGGGGTTCTTGGGACGATGCGCTGGTTGACGCTGCCCCGTTCAAAGTCACCATCCACAACCGTTTGGTAGAGGCAGCACTCATTTTTCCAACAATAAGAAGGGGTGATAGTCTGAACAGTAGTGGAGATAGCGGCCAGGGCGAAGTGGGCATGGAACAAGGCTTGAGATCCGCCAACTGAGAGTTCAACAACTGGGCTCGAAGACGGCGACGCTGGGTGCTGTCTTTACAGTGGTCTGTTAACGGAGTCCTCTACGGAGTCTTGTGGGATCTCCCAAAAGCCTCCAGCAAACCGTTTGTCGTCGAAAAAAAACGTCACAAGTGCCACCCTGCTCTTTGCAACTGTGATTAGACAGGCATGGTGCGGCTTCAAAAGGTGCAGGTACCTTTCTTCAGATTGTTCCTTTACAATCTTGCGTGTCCGATCGCGACGGTCTATGACGGCTTCAAAATAAGGATCCTGTCTGGCACACTGAGTTGGTTTGCTTGCCCAATATTCCCTACTACACTCCTCTATGGAGTCTTTGGTCGGGACACCTCGCTGTGCCCCGGTCAAACTCAAACAGCATGCTGACTGCCTAATTCGCTGGGGTTGCAGCCAAGAGGTCAAACTCTTTCCTCAGCCGTTCTGCAAGGATTGGCAGCGCTCGCACACGGAGCATGCCAGCGATTTTGTCACCCTGTCACTGCGGGTTTTCAAAAATGCAAGTGTGCCTTACCACAAAAAGTCAACTGACTTTGATGCTAAATGCACAGTCCAAGGCATCCGTACAGTAGTGTGTGAACACCAAGCCTTCCCTATGTCAAACACGAGTAGGTGTGACCAAAAACCCAGAGGCATACAAGGCCCAGAGGCATTAAAATCTATTGTCAAAACTCCACCTTTCTAGGACAACACCTCTGTGACTCAACATCTGAGAGGGCTCCCCGGCCCCGAATCCAGCTCGTGCATGGTCCACCTGCCTGGTTTTAGCTTCTCCTGGTCATGTTTGGCGTCATGCCCGCAATACTCTGCAGTATTGCTTCTATGGTTCTGTTGAGGTGAATGAAGCTTGGCATTGGAAGTTGCAAAATAAGAAAATTGGGAAACAATTACGAAAAATAGAAAACAAATAGGACAAAAATTAGGATAAACATAAGAACAACTAGGCAGGACAAAAAGTCGTAAAAATAGGGCACACAAATCTAGAAAACGCACAACAAATAGCCAAGCAAGAAGAAAAACTAGAAGCAAGGATGCCGCAATAATATGGATCACAAGAACAGAATCAAACATCTGCAGGGGTAAGGCGAACTAAACAATCAACAGTGTTCAAGGGAGGATGGTGGGAAGGGGGGTCGAGGCACGGAGGGGTCGAGAGTCGAGGTGGACGCGCCCTGGGGGTAGTGTCCTAATTTTGTTCGATCTGTTCTCTTGTTCCTTGCTTTCCTGTCTATATGCCCGGCATTGGCTTTCGCGGCTTTCAAAGCCCCGCCTTCTTGCACGCTTGGCGGCTTTCCCGCTTGGCGTCAACCTTTTTGCCACCGCCCTTCTTTAGTCATATTTTGTTCATTCCTTTTCCGCTTCGTTGATCGATTTGTTGTCCGCCCCACCCCCCTGTCGCACTTGCCTTGACGTTGTGTGTGTTTGTGCTTTTCCACATGCCGCCAAGGCAATGTGCCGCCCTTTGCTTTTCATTCTTTGTGAATTCGCATAAAATAGGCGCAAACACAATCAGTTGCTTAAACTACGTTTTGAACAATTCTTCTTTATGCTTGCACTAAACAAATAAAGTCCTCCCAATAACGCCACCTCCATGTTGTCAAACAAATTTGGAGAAAGTCGACCATGCATACATTCTTTGCCACAAGCAATTCTTACACAACCCAACGCCAACTAAAAAATATCTCACTTGCACGAATGATTTCTTCATATTTGTCCTAGTATCCATCCCCGGGAAAAAAGGGCGAAAGGGGTTTTCAAAATAAACCCCTAAACCCATAAAAGGTTTGAGCGCTGTGGATGAGCAACCCAACACAAAAGCGGCGCGCCTCCCGTCGCCGTGTGCTGCGCCTTGCGGGCGTGCTGCGTCTCCCCAGCCCCGTCCTGCTGGAGATACTGGATCACAGGGACTTCATAGACAGGCGGCTGGATCTTCACGCCCAGGAAATCCTGGCAGCGGAAATGACAGCGATAGCTGGATAGAAACTCCCTCTCTGGTTGGAAAGTGTTGCTGAGGTGTTCATCCTGAATCATGGTGCTAGTTGCTTGCTTGTAGAAACTTATAGTCGTTTAGTTGGTTGCCGGATCATGCTGTCCTCTGTTCTTGGCGGCAAAACGTTCAACTTTAGTCCGTTCGCCTCCGTTCTCCCTTCGTTCGCCCTCTCGCCGTTCGCCCCGTTCGCCCCGTTCGCCCCTGCCGTGGGTCCTTCAACTTCACCGTCCACAGAGCCGCCTCCTCCGAACGACAGACCCCGCACTCTGCCCTCTAATCAAGCTACCTCTCCACAGGTTGCTGATTGGGTTCCTTCCAATTTGTTGATGCTGAAAGGTCTGAATCATCACAAACTGGGATGAAGACTTTGTCGGGACACTATGTCAAAGTCACAATTGCTGGCATGTGTGAAATGTTGCAAGGTTGGTTCTGGTTGGTTCCTGCAAAAAAGGGCGTCTCGCACCTACTATCACCTACTATCTGATATTTGTTTCTCACCATCCATTGGTCAGCAAAAAGCAAAAGGGACCTCCAGTGGTCTTCCCAGCCAGACCACAACGCAATGATGGACCTCCGTCCCACTCTCGTCATCCACCCGCAAGAAGGGCTTCCAATTCACAGCATTGGAGCGCCAACCTGGTCATGGTTCTGACAGGAATTGGCGTCCCATGCTACTACTAGTAAGGCACTTGTTACTAGTAGCGATGCACTTGTTTCTACTAGCTTCTTGTTACTACTAGTAAGGCACTTGTTCTTACTAACTTCTTGTTACTACTAGACTCGCCAAATCTCCCGATGAGATGTGCCACAAATGTATCTTCCCGAGCAAAAGCTGTCTTGAACTCTGATTAGGATGCGCAGCTTGGGCACCAGGTCGGTCGAAGTAAAAAAGAACTAAAAGATGAAAATGTTGAGTTGGGTTGTTTTCTATCTACAGTGCACACGAGGCACCTTCGGAAGCCTCATCCACCATGAAGTTGAAGTTGCGACTCCTTGGAAGAGATCGCATGTCTTGAGATGCCACTTGACGGCCTTGAGGCTTTCAGTGTTTACTTTTTCTCTACCAGGGTGGTACAGTAATACTCGTGTCATGGATGAAAGCCTTGCCGCCTGGCCTTATATAAAAGGATGGAAGATGTCTGCTCAACGTGTCTATCCCCAGCCCTTCTCCAAGACATTGTACCTTTGATGTTGGACTTGCAGGATGTTCTACTGGTCAGTGGCAAGAGCCCAATCCACGGAGTCTGCTCCCCCTCCATTTCACTCTCGAGACCGTTCCATCGAGCGAGAGCGACCAAGAGCCAAACACATGGCCAACAGGTTCGACCCCTCAGCACTACTTAGCCACGACCTCAGCTTGTCCCTAAAAACAGATGTCCAACCCTTCAGCAAATTGAAGGTGTTTCGTTGGCCGCTGATTCCGTCCTGACATTCAAAGTCCCAACTCCGGGCAAAGCTGATCCACCGCGGGAGAAGAAAACTACCGAAGGAAAGCTGGATTGCTATCATGTACTCAGAAACCTGGCAAAGTCACCCCACATCCTCTCTCATGTGGTCGGGATTTGTCCGGATATGAAGTTCATGATACCAGTTGAGATTAAATTAGAAGGCACATCTTGTTTTCCGGCATCTTGACCACAACTTTATATATATATATATATCACGGGTCGCTTCGTTTCACTACCCAAACCTACCCAAACCTCCACCATCCCCACCACGCGCCCACAGGCTGCGCTGGTGGTCAGGGCGCTGGAAGCCGCCCGAGGCGATCGCCAGCTCGATGGCACCGCCTTCCCAGAAGGAGCTCACCTGGGCACCGCGAACACGATCGGAGCTCACTTTGACGAACACATCACATGGAAATGGAGTTTCCACCAACTGTTTGTAGAGGATTTCATGGTCTTCACTGCCATCCACTTCCATGTTAGTGAGTCAGATCGATAGATTCCAAGCTTTGGAGAGATGGGAATGGGGATCGCGATGTCACCATGTCGCCGAACACGCCGTCGGGTGACATAGAGTTTGCAGTCCACCACGGTGGAGGGCAAGTTCCTCAAGCCCAACAAGCAAAAGTCGATCTTGAATCGTGAACCTCAGTTGAAGCAACAGCGAAAGCACCACACCCAACCATCAGAGGAAGGAACTTCGTCAAAATGCTGCGGAGAAAAACAACAGCAGATTCGCTCTGAGAAAGACGCCTTTCGGACAATCTGTAGTGTCTTTGTTTGGCCTGTAGTGTCTTGGAGGAACGACGCAGAAATCGGTCGGCCGGCCATCTGCCCAGGAACTCTGATGCGTTCGCAGCTGATGGATGCTGATGCCAGCAGCCGCCCCCTGAGATTGGATCAAAATTGTTCGTATTGTTCTGAAGTGGAGGATTCCAAGGCACTCAAATTTTGGTGAGTGGTAAAATCCCACTGGAACGTGGGAAGATCCTTCACAACTTGACCCGACGGACAAGGAAGCATAGCTCCATCACCAGTCGGAGCAAGGTGGTACGAGTTGACTGGGGTGCCCCTAATAGCGTTCTTGCTCCTAGTAGCGATGCCAGGAGCCCCTACAAGTAGTAGCTTCTTGTTCCTAGTAGTACGGCCAGGAGCCCCTAGTAGCGTCCTTGCTCCTAGTGCAAGTCTTCCATCAACCAGCCCGCTCGTCCGAGCCCAGCAATGCCGCCTTTGCCAGGTTGGGGCCTTGCGTGAGCCCTTCTCGCAGGTTGGCCTCCGCAACGAAGGCAGGATGCAGAACACCCTCGCCACTTGCCCAACATCATTCAACTAAACTCGAATACAATGATACAAGCAAATGCCTTTGAAAAGACTGACTAAACCAAGTGCTGCTTCTGTTTTGTGAGTTACAGTCACAGTACCAAATCCCTCCCTCATGAATACATCGGTTGGGAGTTCACTACATGCTTTATATACTCTGAGAGGGATTTCTGATGTCTTTGTCTTGTGCCCAATCCATCACCACAAGATGTTCAATCCACGAATTGTGTTGCTCCGTGGGTACCAACGTACCACACCCTCCGACCCGTTGTGCCACGTCGTTGCGTCTGCTGGAAAAGTCTGTAGCAGATGTCAAGTTACAGGATGGAGGAACAGTAGCTGTTCCTCTATCCTGTGAAATGGCACCACATTCCTGGGTTCTGGGCCAAAATTTCTGGTTGATAGATACAAACCTCCGGGCTAGAAAACTCCCAGCCATGCGTCATCCATGTGTCTCAGCTGCGCCTGGAAGGAGTAGTTCGCAGCTGCCAGGACCCGAGGCCTCCACCGGTGCGGCAACCGTAGAGTTTCGAACGTCGACTTTGGGAGCTGAAAAGGGCTGAAAGGCTTCAAGGCTGGCGCGCGCCAGGTAAGAAGCTCATAGCTGGGACATGCTGGGACTATCCATATTTGGCTCATTTCGGGAGATCAGTCTGGGTCGCCTAATTGACTTCTCTCGATGCGGTCTGCGGTCTGCCTCTTTTGCCAGGAGTCTTCTTCTCCACCGGTAGAGGTGTCAAAGGGAGCCTCCCAAGATGTGAATACTCCAAGGAAGCTATGGAAGGAGTGAGTGTTGCTTTTCCGGCTGACTTCAAGGACAAGTGAAGAAAGCAAGTGAAGAAATACCTACGAGCAAACCAGCAAGGCCCTTTCCTTGCCCTGGTTGCATCCAGACCAAAGCACCAACAACCAATGTCCATGAAGGAAGCTTTGGCATGCTTCGGCATGGTTTCATCCATCACAAAATATCCCAGATGGTATCTCCTGTGCAGCTTTGTCTAAGGCATACCATTTCGCCACATGATGCCTCGCAGGAAGACGGAGAAAAGCGATCACATTGGGAAACAGCGGGGCAGTGCGGCTTGCAAACTCATGTTGTGAGATTGACTTGGTTTGGATCCTGTGGCATTGGTGGAGAGGTGCAGCGTTGAGGTTGGCAAGGTTCTTCTGGAGCCATCTATGAACCCTACCGTTCACCTCACGCCCAACCTGTTGCGGTTCATTTACAACCTCGGGGAAAAGGATAAAAACAACAATTAGACTGCAAATGATTGTGAGCCTGACATTTACACGGGTCGGTCCGTGCATGTCCAATTCCATCGACTAACTACAAGGTTGGCTTCGTGTATTGAGTTGGCCTGGGCTGGAAGGAGTAGCCACTACCAGCCTCAAAAGTGGTAGCAAAGGGCAACTTCTGCTATCGTGGCACGTCCCTGAGTTCCTCATCACTGACCAGAAGGAGTTCTCTAAAGCATTAGAATCATCAAACTAAGTTTAGTGATTGAAAAAGGTGTAGCCCAGAAGTTTCAGCTTTCAAAGCTGGCTCCAAAACCTTCTCGCCCAGCCTTTCGATAAAAGCAAATCCACACAACGGCCTGTTGAGGTCCAAGTTTTCAGGCTTCTTGGAAGCGAAGAGAGACCCATGATTGCCCAAGACGTAGTCCTCCCACCGAGCATGCTCGAGCAAAAAAGACACACAGCTGCGCGGGGGAGGTCTCTGGCACGATGTGGCTTCCACGGGTCCAAATCGGGCTGGAGCCCTTCAGGGGGGCAGGGAGGTGGCGACCTTCAATTTCTTTTCATGGGTGTTGGTCGGACGCTTTCTTTTAATTAGAAAAGGGTTGGTAACCTTATTGTTCAGCCGCAACTCTGCGGATATCTCTGCATCACTGGGCCAGAAATCCACTCACAATCAACCCTGCCCCGTGCGTATCACTGCGACCTCATCATTCGCATAGCCCAAGAGCGGATAGACCTCCACACGTTGATCCCCGCAGCGGCCGATGCAGTGTGTCCTGGCCCGTCCGGTGTTGTGCCCTGGGTTATTCAAGACAATTTCATTGTTGCACCAATTCTGCACCTGCTTGAACGTGTTCACCGTTTTGGACCAGACTTCCTTAAAGGTCCATCTCTCCCCGATTTGAGGACACACCGCCATGTGGTTGTGCAAGCAGGCAAACCCCATCCTGCACAATATATACCTGTTCAACTCAAGACACCAAAAATTGGATTCCCACCTCTAACAAACCCTTCATTTGCAGAACATCACTACCGATGATATGCCTCCATCCCCCATGTTCTCCGACCCGCCTGGCAGGCGAGGGTTTGATGACGATCCGCCCCACCTCCTCAAAGGTGTCGCCGGCATTGAGGCCCAGGACCTTCCTGCAACTGGAGATGCCAAGCAGTGGAGAGTTTGGCAGGTTCGGCTAAACAACAAAACCCGACACGAGGATTGGGAAAATCTATGTGTCTCTTGAATCCCCTTCTGCTATCTAGATTTCCATAGATCTAGATGGCAAAGGATTTGATTTCACAGGGCACGTCTTCTAGGGGAAGATATTCTTGCCAGCGACTGCCGGAAGCAGAAACCTCTCAAAATGAACATGGGCCATAACAATCTATTATAATTAGTTATAGATGGAAGATGCTGGAGGGATATTTTCTCCACAAAACCAATGCTCAAAGGATGCACTGGGATCTCCCGCAGACACACTCAGAACGTCAACCAAAACACCAAAGTTGATTCAAAAAGAAGCAGGTTCATTGTCCTGTCTGCCTAATTTCTGCCATTGATGTGGGAGTCCACTAGGCTCTAGCGCCATGTCAGTCTCTCCCGTTTACAACTTTGTCCAACTTTGCAAAGGAAAAGTGGTAAAGGGTACAGTCGATTGTAGATATAAAAGATACTAATTTAAAACAAAAAAGAAAGTAATAACCAACTTTCACGGCGTTCTACGCTCTACGTTCGGTCCAGACCACGTTCGACCTTCGGTCTCACCTATCGCCCCAGCACGGGCCTCTCATCACGATCCAGAATCTTCACGATGATCGGCGGAAACGGCACCGCTGAAGCCATCTGGGCGGTGAACGAGAAATCCCCCGAAGCCAGGCGTGAGGGCAGGCCACTTGGCAAGGGTGATGGATTGGCAAAGCTAATTGTTCAAATTCAAGTGGGTGAAATAACCAGAGTTGCAGAGTTGGCTGAAATTCTTCAACCAATCATGAACATCAAATCCAATCAAATCAACCAGAGTAAGTTGTGTAATTATCCTCGAGCCTCTGCTTTTGTGAAGACGTATACATATAATATACCGCCCCTCGCTCTTCACCACACCTGCGATCCCAAAAGAGCTCAAAAGAACGCAACAGCGACGCCCGCTGCGCTTGTAGCAGCGCTCAAAACCACTCCGAGTGCTCAGGCCATTGGAAGGCCAACCGTGGGCTCCGGCTCTACCTGAGAAGTCAAGAAAAAAGACTTGAGGAAGCCCTTCTTACGTTCGTAGCTTCTTGTTACTAGTAGTAATGCCAGGAGCTACTAGTAGCGTCCTTGCTCCTAGTAGCAATGCCCTTGTTACTAGTAGCTTTTGATGTCCTGTTAGACCTGATCGATCTTGGTCTCTCTCCACAAGCCTTGGCCCGTTCTGTTCTATCTGGTCAAAGTTCGTCTGTCCGCCTCCATCTGGATTGGAATGCGGATGCGGTGCATGAAGGACGGGCCTGGAGAATGGGGCGAAACTTCACAGCTCTTTACGAAAGGGACACAGCTTCAGCGCTCAGCACCACTGAAGCGGAAAGCGTTCACCAGGCTGGTCACGAACGGTTCATGCGTAGAGGGTTAACAAGTCACCAAGCCAGAGCTGCACAATTCTACAGATGCAAAAATGGAGTTGTGCTAGCGCATCACATCCAATCTGCACTCTGGCAACGGAAAAGTTCCAGTTTGCTCACCACTCTCCGCATCTCTCCACCTTCTTCGCCCAATCTGGAAGTCCCATCCCAAAAACTGAAGACTCGTGTGCGTGTTGTCTCTCAGCTGGAGTCGAAGCTCGGGTTCCATTTTCTGAGTGCCCGAACTCAAGGACTTCATGATGCCCGAAGGATAGAGCAAGGTCTGGCGGCATGTGCTGGCACCGACCCTTGAGTCGGTTCAGTCGAGGTGTTCCGTTGGCAAGGATAAAAGGCCAGAACAGCATAGAGAGACTACGTCTCTTTCTACATCTTCCCAACGGTGAACCAGAGCGACTAAGAGCGACTAAGAGCGACGAACCGCTGCCTCACATCGACAGGGATGCCAAAAGCATTTGGATTTAGACAGTAGATGAAAGTTGTGTTGGTTTCGTCTTGTATGTCTTTGTCCACTTTCTCACCAGCAGGTCCTGTGTTCTCAGGACTTGATCCAACAGCTCCGAAACTGCTCTCTCGCTCCATCCCGGTTTTTGGGGCGGCGCTCGCTCGCTCCGTCCTGGTCCTTGACCTCGATGGAGTAGGACGGATCGACCAAGCCATCATCATCCATGGCCGGCAACTCCCGAGCGGCCAACAGGTCCACGTGGCAAAAGACCTCACTCCGCACTCCGCACCGGTCGGCGCGCGTGGCGGAGCCGGTCCGCGGAGCATTCCCGGATTCAATGGCGAATCGATTGAGAAGTCTGACGACAGCATGAGTGCGTCACCTTGCCAAGTTCTCCCACTTGGGTGGCGCCAAAAGGAAGCAAAACAGGAAGAGGCCCATGCAGAAGGGTGGGGCCCGTTACAACCATGTTTGGTCATTATTTTGGGAGGTCTTCCGTCACCAGCAGCATCCGTCATCCGTGGCAAAATGGTTGCGGTAAGAACAACTGCGAGAATGTGCCGAACATCTGAGTTCTGGGTTTGCTCAAGAGAGATCGCTAGCTCCCAGAGAATGGTCTGGAACCTTGCGGGTGCTTGCCTATATCATTATTCCAACCGGTTCCGCTCCAAACATCACTTCTTCAATCTGCTCCTTTCCCCACCTTCCCATCCCATCCCTCAGTCTGGGACCGTCTTCATGAGCTCCTTCTTTTGCACCTCAAACCGCACCTCCTCTCCCGACGAGGCCTCAAAAACCTGGCACAGCTAGAGATACACCTCGCACCCCGAGGCCTAAAGGTGCATCCGAACTCGGATGACCGTTGAGTCAACAGAACTCAGTCGGACTGTCTAGAACTGCAGGAAGTTCAACATGCGAATATGTCATGGAAGCCCACCAGCTGTGCATGTCAACAGATCGTTGCTTCGCGGTCGAAGTCAGCGGCGCTTTGATTCGGACCGACAAACGACTACGGCGACAAGCGTGAATCTCTGGCTCGGAAGCCCTGCCTGCTTGGTGCCGCAGCCTGAGTCGCCATTGGAGATCAGAACGCCGTCATTGGTGACATCCAAAACACTGAGAAATGCTTGGAGGCTTTTTGTGAATTCTGAATGACACAAAAGCCATTGGAACGCACACCTCGTTCATCCTCTGAAACGGCTCTGTCACGGCTTTCTTAGTAGGCTTTAACACCATATTGTCGTCACTGTCCAAACCCTGCGCAGCCGGACACATGCCCTTCTGCGCTGATGGAAGCAAGGGAGACCTGCAGCCAGGTGCAAATTTAAAGGGTGAAATAGAAAACCAACCACCGACATGCCTGATGGTCACTCTTGAACATATATCCCAAAACCCTGAGAAGGACGGAAGGACATTGTCCACCAGTGCCCCATCAAGTGCAGCTTTGCCTTTCAACGACATCATTGGTGGGTCACCGACATGCGGCGAAATGAGAAACTTCCGAACGCTCAGCCCCCCCCCACCTATAAAATAAGCAGGCGCCCGCCTACTTGATTAAGTAAGGGTTCCTAGTTAGCTCCCAGGTAGGGGCACAGGATAGCTCCCGCTTCTTCAAGGAAGCTCCCCCCGCCTGAGGGCGGGGGGGCAGCTGGTTTGCCCTGGAAAGGCTCTATATACTTTAGCTGTCCTTTATATACCCCAAATTTAAGCAACCATCAACGAGTTGCAGTCTTGACTCAATGACTCACACAAAAGAATAGCAGACTTCAACCAATGAGATTGACAGTGGTCTTTCCTTCCAAGCGGCTCTGCACTCCAAAAGCTCCAAGAATTCCGATGATTAGACCTTGGACCATTGCTACTCTACGTCAGACTAACCCACGTCGCTAAGACCAGAAGCACTGTTTTTTACTTAACGAATCCCGTCTGAGAGCGAATTGAATCCACAATGTGTTGGTCACCCTCCCGGTCTTCCTCAAAGAAACACTGCCGTATGTTCGCCAATTTGTTTAAAAGCTTGTATTCCTGCAACAGGTGGGAGCAGTGGAGCAGCTGGCAATTTGGGAATGCCTCCTTCAGACCGCCTCAGCAAACCTCAAGGTGTTTCTTCTACGTTCTACATGCAGTCTTGATGCAGGCCAGCTGTAAAGGACAACAATGATCTGTTCATCTGCGCGTTCACCGACAAAGAATACGTTTGAGCCGCAGCCACGCCTTTCGTCCGTCTGTCCGTCGAGTCTTCGTTCCTTTGGACTCACTAAGGCTCGAACGGCTTCGTGCCTAGACATTTGGCCCAAATCTATGTGTATTCGTTGAATTCGTGGACTTCTTGTGCACACGTCAAAGAGCAAACAACCAGTTGCAACCCTTGTGCAAAGAAGTGGACATGGAGTTCTGGGGATGTCTGGAAACATGGGAGCACTTGTCGGCATCAATCTCCATGGCAGCTCCACGTGAAAGATGTGCAACCAAATAATCCTATCCTATCATATCATATCCAATACAACAGGAAGCAAGAAAGCCCTTGGTGGTATTGGTTCCCTTCTTTGCACCAAAGAGCTCCAAAGGCGGAGGCATCTGTCATGAAGCAACATGGACTGAATGAACTTTGCACCTCTTATGATTCTGATCAGGCATAATCATTTGTAGCAGCCTTGCACTGCGTAGGTGTTTTGCGCGTATCTTCAAGGTCACATCCAGATGTGTCCGGCCTGTCTCCGGCATCAAGCTGGCAGAGCCCAAGACAAAACCCGCAAGGTTGGACTTGAAATATGCCTCCACCAAATGTGGTGTTGCTGGACACTTGCACGCTTGAAAACGGTGGCTGCAAGGGAGAAAGCAGTGCCATATGGAAAAGGAAGAGAACTTTAGCTTGCTCACTCTGCCCCCGAATGATTTCTCCCCTTCTTCTTTGAATGCTCTTTGTTTGGCCTCTGGGAGGGCCACCACGGAGGTGTCGAAGTGGAGTTGTTTCCACTTGGGCGCGACCTGCCGACGTTGGGGACCCCAAGACCAGTCCCCATGGGCCACGGAAGAAGTTCAACAAACGCCGAGTGGAACAAACGCCGAAGGTCACGCAATCGATAGGTCTTCTGAGATGGATGTCGCGCATCGCCAGCTCTCGGCATCTCCCAAGTTTGACCGCGGAAGGCGTCGGAGTGGGCCCCCGCACAGTGTCCAAGGCCTTCGCGAACATCCGCAAGCGGCCAAAGACGCGAGGCCTGGGTAGCAGTGGAAACCAAATGGTGAATCAGCGATGCTTCACCTCCAGAAACACCACATGAGAACTCAAAACCGTGAACCGAGAAACGAGGAGATCACCCGTGATGCCGGGCGCGCGCAAAGCGGTCCATTCGTGTGTCGAAGCCGCCAGAGATCCGTGCGGTTCGGTCTCCTCGCCCACCGCCACGATGTAGAAGTCAGCAAACCTGGTGTCATCTGCGGTGCACTGATCGTTCGCTACACAGAATACGGGGGTCGTATTCAAGGTGTATGAAAGGGTATTGTTCGATGTGTTTAGCGTTTGGGAGATGCATATTTTTGCGGGGCGTGGTTGGAGAAATATCTATCCAGGAGGCCATTCCATGTCCATGATTATATATGTCAGGGCATCTAGGGCCCGCGAGCAAAAATATACCAACTGCACAACAATGCAAAAAAAAAAATCTCCTGCCGTAGGGCAAACAAACATGAGATAAGTGCATCATAATCGAGGGAGTAAAGACTGAAAGAGTGTTGTTCATATGATGCACTTGGGTTGTCCCTTAAGGTGAAACAAAACACGACAACCAGTAGAGCAAAAAACAATCAACAAGAGGAAATGCAGAGAAAGCCAGAAGAGCAAGAATAAAACAACACGAACTCACGGCTTGAAAAGCAACTAATGAAAAGGACGGCAACAAAGGCCATAGAAAGCAAAAGCAATTAACACAGGGAAACAATACGCCACGAGAGGACAAGAAGCAGGAAAGTGAAGAAAAGCATGAGAAGGGCCAGGAAGAGCAAAACAAGCGCAAAAGAAGCAGGAAAAGTAGTAGAATTTACAGGAAAGTGCGGAATGCGCAACTGGTAGCAAAGCAAGCACCGACGGACCTTTTCACTCTAAGGTGAACGAAGGTATGTGAAACAAAAGCATTGAACGTGTTCTGCCTCCTTATGCTGCTTCTGGTACTCTTCTCTGTTTTGTGCGTGTCATCCTAAGCCGGCTGGGCCGATCGAGCTCTGGGGCCATGCTTGCATGGATCACGCGGCCGTGGTCTCTTGGGCCGGGCCATGGCCTCGAAAGCACGAAAGCTCGAAACAACCTGCTGAGGCATTTCCAATGGAGATTCTCACACCCATTATTTTTATTTTTGGTTCGAGCTTCCACTGGCATTCGCATCCTCATCGTCTCGAAGTTCTGCAGCCAGTTTCTTTCGACGCTCGACATTTGCCTCTTTCTTCTGCTCGGCTTTCTTCTTCTTTGCATTGGATCTCTGTCTTTCCTGCCGTTTCTTTTCCTTCAAAAGCTTGTTGGCTTCGCTCTGGACTAGGCTAGTGATGCCATCACGAAGAAAAGCTCTCAAAGTATCCTTTTCAGCATTTGCTTTAGTCAAAACATTAGCGATGTTTTGCATACCGTCAATCCACTTGACCACTGCATTGGGCTGTCGCACAGTCTCTCGAAGGAGAGCCCCTTCAATAGCCATGCGCTTGTCGGTGGATGTTGAAGTAGCATCTTTATGCAAGTAATCGAACACCGAACGGGCGTCCGTGACGTACGCCCTCTGGCGGCGGTGAATCACCGATGGCCAATCCTTCAGGTTCAAATTTCCATGCAACGCTTCTTCCAACAAACAACAACACCAGTCGCCAGCCTCGACAGCTTCTGCTAAATGTGAAGCTTCTGCTGCAAGTGTCGATCTGCAAACTCTCTTTGTTTGTCCACTTTGAAATGCTAAAATATTTGCACGGCTTGGCTTGTCATCCAAAATTTCTGGATTTGCAACAAGAAGGAAATATCCACCAACGCTTCTGTAACGTTTGATGTCGTCAGATTCTGGAGTCCCATTGGCGTGTCCACTGTCTGCCAAATGGATCAGGACACCATGCTCCAAATCAACATCGCTCCAAAAGCGAAGTCTGAAATCGGCTGCCCTGCGGGCTTGTGCAAGGTACTGCCGAAGGCGGATCAAATCACCAACGCAAGCATCTGTCTTTGATCTCTGAATCACGCCGTTTTCAAAACACAAATCACAACGCAACTGTCTGGTCAGCCAGCCTAACTCCCCTGCTCCGGACTGGAACTCAGCAAATTCCTCTGAAGTGAGGGAACTTTCGACCTGGGCACGTCTAGCATTAGGAATATGGATCTTGCGGGTGCTGAGTGAGTAATTCCGCATGCTAACATCAATGTGACCATCAACATGTTGCTTGATCTCTCGGCCTCTGAAAACGAACTCTTTGAAATGATTGGTGGCGTACTCAAGAGCTTTAGAAGATCTTGCAAAAGCAATGTCCATGTAAGAGGGATCAATTCCTCCCTCAACATCGTCAACATGCGTAACCAAGATTCCTCTCAACTGCTTGCCGTCTGCACCACCATCTCGGAGGTAAAACAATGCTGGCTCGAGGCGACTTTCTTCCCAACCGTCACTATTGAGGTGACCTTTCAAAGCAATCCAAAACATTCGAGCAGCTTCGCTGAAGCCGTAGATGGCCTTCTTGGCCTTCAACAACTGCTTCGGCTTCAATCCCCGCAGGCCACCGCGAGGCTGTTCCAAGTAAATCTCCCGATCAAGGGATTTTCCACTAAAGTAAGCATTCTTGACATCCTTGGAAATCATGGTGAAGCCTTTGAATGCAGAAACTGCTAAACAAACACTCTCAGCTAGTGCACTTGCGGTCGGAGCGTCCCTTCTATAAAATCCAAGACTCCGGTCTTTGAAACCTTGTACCACCAAACGGGATTTAGCCAAAAATTCAGCCTTCTCCAAACCATCATTCTTGTTGGTTCTAACCCATCTGGTCGGGATGATCAAGTCCGGACGTTTCTCACGGATCAATTGACTCTCTGCTTCTGAAAGAACATCAACTGCTTCCTTCTCCTGCCAGGCCTGCCACTCACGGTCATCAGAACCGCCAGGTTGCAAAAACTGGTTGCGAACTTCGGGAGGCAAGTCTTTTAAATAAACTTCTTTGCGACCCTTCTTCTTACCAGCACTCTGACCTGGGGTTGCCTGCATGGCGTGGTCGTACATGGCTTGATAATGCTCATCAAAAACATTCCTTCTGAAGGCAAAAAGAAAATCATCCAACGAAACATTCCGGCTCAAATAGTCATCTATTTTGTTTGCATATGATTCCCGTGCACGCTGCTTCAACAATTGGGGGTGTTCAACAACATGGTAGCAAAACAAACCATCAGCATCGTCCGGAGGCAAATCACCGCGAAGCCGTTTGGCTTCCCGCTCCTGAGCTTCGGTCTCAGGATTCTCACTCACTGCAGGAAGGCGCTTGGACGGTGAAGCTTGGTGGTAGTCATGCAACTCCGGGTCGAACTCAGCTGTCTCCATCGGGGGCAATGGAGTCAGGGCTGCTTGCTGTTGCAATTGTTGAAGTCGGGCATCTCTCTTCTCCTTTCTCTCACGCTCTTTTCGTGCAAAGAACTCTGAATCACGGCGATGTTTCTTGGCATCTCTCTCTGACTCATAGCGCATCCGGGCCATGGATGTAGAGCCCGAGGACATATCTTCAGCAGGTGCAGGTGCTAGAGCTTGCTCTGTCGCTTCAGGAACTGGTGCTTCAGATGGCTCATACTCCAAATCACCTTTTGCAGAAGGTGACATGTCTTGAATCTGTCCTGGAGGCTTATCTTCAATTTCTAACTGCTCTTCTCCTTCTCTAACTGTGTCCAACTCTGTCGTCTTTGGCTTGGGCAATGCACGAAGATCAATGAAGCCGGTCCCACCGGCGCCTGGTTGTGCATCCATTAGCTCGGTTTCTGTCCCAACATTCAGCCAATGTTGTACTTCCTCATCCATGGCGAAGGCTAAATGCTCGGGACTGACTGCTATCAAAAGTCCTCTGTGACTAAGCCAAACTGTATGCGATCCTTCGTGTCCAACAACTCTTGCAACGCCTCTCCAACACTCAGGGCCAGGTGCCGTGTCACTGGCATCGTAGTAGAACACATAGGAACCGACAGGAAAAGGACCACGTGAAGGCTTGACCTTCCGGAGCTTCAGGGCATCTGAACAGCTAACTTTGACAAAGGCTTCTCGAGCAGCGAAACGAAGTTTGGACTTCTGGTAAAATCTGCTGGTTGGTGTCAAGCTCAACGACAAAGCTCCCAAGCGTGTCACCTCGCTCTCATCTGTCAGGTCAGCTGGCAACCGAGTCTGTCGTCCCAGGACCCATTGTGCCGGTGAAAACCCCGACCTGCGAATCAAGCTGTTCTTCGCTTGGTTGATAGCTGAAGTGGCATGAACCATAGACTCTCTACCAGAAACTTGTTCACTCCAAACAACTCGTTTCAACATGCTTTTCCAAATGTCTCCGTGCCGCTCGACTTGTCCGATCTGCCAAGGACTAGCCTTGGCTGCACTCTGGAAGTAAACACCTTCTGCGGAAAGAGCTTCAGAAAAATGCGTCACAAAATACTTGGCTCAGTGAAAACACCGAACTCTGGATAACCTGCCCAGCTGACCCATCCAATGTCAAATGCTTTGATGACCTCTTCGGATGTAGGGTTTGCATGTGTCTGCTCCAACAACACTGCAATCTGGAAACAAGTACCCTGGCACAAAATGTTGAGCCAACTCCAATTGTGTCCATCGGCGTCCTTGCACTGAAACACATCTAAGCCAATCTGTACATTGAACTCTTCTGTCAGTGGCAACTTGCTAGGTCTTTGCTTCTTTGGAGGCGCTACTCGAGGGCATGCCTCACAACGAAACAATCTGCAAGCACGAATGGCGACTTCCGACGCCTTGCTCACCCGAAGAGCCCGCAACATTTGTGTCACGCTCGCATGGCCAAGATTGACATGAACTCGTCGAATGGCAAGCTTCAACTCTCTCGGCAAGGAAGCCCACTTCTGGGCGCGCTGCAACTCTTTGGCTTGTGCCCTGGGGTCAGCTTCAACTGGTTGTTCAATATCACCCAATGGTTTGCCAAAAACAATCACGCAAAGCTCACGCTGTTGTGCAACCAACGGTCTCACCTGACTGCTCGGTGCCAACTGTGCCAACTCTTCCCAGCCTGTTGTCAAACAACTTCCGTTTCTCAAAAGCAAAAACGACTTGCGAAGAGGAACTTCCGCCGGTGAAGCATGTGGCTGTGGCTTGCGCAACTTCTTTGCTTTGTCAGCAACCAAAATAAGAACAACCTCTGCTTCTGCTGATTCAACCGACTCCCAATCTCGCCCGAGGTCCTCCGTGAGGGGAAG